TAGAAAGGGGCATGGGAGCAATGTTTATATCAGGCAAGCAAATTTGGGCCTCTGCAAATCTGGCAGATGGCAATCCTCCCCCTTCACTTTATTTTTTGCACAAACCCCCATAACCGTGCTTGGTGCAGCAGTGGTGAATGAAAAATGGATACAGTTTGAAGTGAAACATTTCTTCCTTTAAAAGCAATTTCCGCAGCTGATTGATCAAAATGTTGTCCAAGGGATGGTAGGTTTGCTGTCAGCTAAAGCAATGTAAAGAATTTACACTCCTGTGCTATTTAGGCATTCACAATATCAGCTGCTGCAAAAGGCTTTTTGTGCCTAAACTCCCTTTGTCTTGGGGAAAAATGGGGCCAAGTTTATTTTTCTTTAAATGTAGCAATTACAAAACTGAATATTCAAAAGAGTACTAAAAGTGGTTGAATTAGTGTTGTTTTTAAAAAATAATTAAGATGTATTTTCTAAGAGCTGGATCAATGATGCTCAAAGAAATCATACTCCGTACTTTTTATCTCCCTCAGTTTAGTTACCTTTCTAGCTCTGTCTATGGCAAAAGTGTCCTGAAGCTCAGATGAGAAATTACGGGAACACTACAGTCCTGCACTCTGACCACTTCAACAAAGGCTAAATCTTTGGAGAGCCAAGCTAAATGCTAACAGAGTTCTCCAGAGCATGTAAAAAATGAAGCTTTTCAGAGATTCGGATATTGGGTTGATTCCTTCAGGAAAAAGAGAGGTATATTCCTGATACCGGGGCAACCCACAGCCACATCTTAAGTTCCAGACCCAAGACATGAAGGCAGGAGAGCACCTGAGCTGAAGTGCCCTAAGAGTATATTATAAACTGGGCAAACCCATCTATTTTATCCTAGCCTTTCTCCGACACCTAACCCATTTCATTGACACTTCAGGCAGCAACAGTAATGTAATCACCCTGAGACATGAAATTTCAGTTTGGAAATTTACAGTTTATCTAAATTATAGGTAACCAAGAACAGTTTTACAGTGGAAGGTATCAGGAAAATTGTAATGGGAGGCAACACTGTGTACTGCCCTTAATACTTAAATGATTCTATGATTATGAAATGTTTGTAACATTCAGCAGGCATGCTGAGCATGTATGAGCGTTGTTGGTATGTTTGCCTGGAGGATTAATGGCACTTAATGACATTATTTATATAGTTCTCAAAGCAAAGCAGAATGTTTCTGCAGTTCCTCACCTGTCTGCTATGCCTGCAGAAAGCAGCGATGCGTCCATGGCTGCTAATGCAATTATGATGAATTTCATAAATAAGATCCACTCTTCAGGGTTAATTTCCAAATTTCTTTACACAGTGAACAAGAAATGACATTAAAAGCAGAAGTTTTAGGAAGTTAGACAGGACTGGAATGAGTTTAAATGTTAACACAGACTAATAAGTAGAATACTGTGTTCATTTGAGCTAATTATTTTCTCAGAAGGCATCCATCCTATTTAGGCAATTACACAGCCCCAAGTCTTCATTTCTTACCAGTACTATCAAGGGACTTCATCTGCTAGTTTAAGTTTAAGACTGTTCATGTGTTTTTAATAACATAGATTTAATTTGAAAGCTGCATTTGAGCTGTTTCCATGTGACTATTCCACACTTACAGAGAAATGCATTTATTCTAAATTTAAACTGTAACTATAGTAACCAGCATTCACTGTGTTTCAGTAGGAAATATATAAGCCCACTCAGACAGAAGGAAACATGTTGTCTTAATTATCATTCTATCAAAAGACTAGAGTTTGTATTTTTAAAAAAATAATTATCAGAAACTAGGTATTCTTACTATCCAGACTTAGAAACCAAGAGATTTGCCAGAATGTATCCTAATGTAATTTGTGGGAAACTGTGGACGTTAGAAAAAGGGTCGTATCTGGACCAATTTGGAGGATATAATAAACCTCATTTTTTTTCCCAGCTATTTATTGTCTAATAAAAATACAATATTGAGCTCTTCTAAGCTAGCTTTGCAGGATTCTACTGAGATTTCCTAGAGGAATTCCTAATCTTAGACAAATAGAGTTACTGTTTCAATTCTAGGTAGATGATCGGATTTTTTTGCTTGGGCCAGTAGATGATAGATTCTGTAGATGATTTTGCAAAGGTAGTAAATGTCACTTTTACAGTAATGACCATATTAGTCAAGGTGAGTAAGGACATGAATAGCTTCTTCCTTTCCTTAGATTTCTCTCTCTGCACCTGTTTTCTTGGGGGTTGATTTTGTTTAGGGGAGAGCTCACCCCCTCTTAGATATTTTTTTTTAATTCCTAGCATTATTATTTAAGCCAACTGTGTTAAAAATTTAAATATACAACATATGTAAATCTTGTGGTAATGGTGAACTTTGCAAATATATTAAGGGTATATAGTTTTCCCACAGGTAAAATATTTACTGCATATATTTCAGTATGCTAATGGATTTTAAGTTTTACCAACACATTTTAAAAATAATGCTCATTCACTGAGTAATGGAAATTCAGGATATTGATCCATAATATTTAGGAACGGAAACACTTAATTATCTAGTGCAATGTCCTTTATAAATGCCTTGTGTGCCTCTTTTTTCCCTCTATACTGAGGACTGTAACTTGTGTTTGTCCAGTCTTGACTCTAAGATGCGAATAGATCAAGATGCCACACATTCCTCTTCTATATTATTTTGGTAACTAAAGATATTAAGCATTGAAAAGTAAAACTGTCTGTGTTTTCTTTAGAATTAATTTGTCCACCATCAGCTCATTGCCAATGATTTTGATATGCGTTTCTCTCCCTAAGAGAATTTTTTAGATCTAAGTATTCTCTCACTCTGAAGGCATGGTGTATACAATATAACAGCTCCTCTCTCAAGCTGTGTTTATTGAAGCTATGGATATCAGGACCAAATAACTTGTGAGGCTTTTCATTGGAGCATTTCAACTTTAATATGTGAATACCAGAACTGTACAGACTAAGCCAAGTTTTGTGTCATACCACACTGCAGTTTGGGCTCTAAGGTCCCAGGAGGTGGGCTCACAGGGGCTGTGTGCTCTGGTTTTTCAACTCAGATTGGGACTGAGCATTCAAAGCAAATGCCCTTTTCATCCTCCCTTTCAGCACTTTGGTTCATCTTGTGTGACAGTCTTAGTGAATGCATACTAGATTCATTTGTATTAAACTGATCTTAAAGATGAGCTCACGCAAAGCATCCACCTGCTAATGGGTGGTCAGTTCAGGAGGCCAGACTAGAACTAGCCCGAAGAAAAAACCCTGAAATGTATAGTTTGTGTCCTCTTCTATTTGGCCATGCTATTTGGTAACGTGAACCTGTCCATTTTTGTTTTCAGAACTCACCCACTTGCAATGAGGTCTTCACTGAAATGAGTCAGAAAACCAAATTCTTTTCATTCTATCTGCTTGCAGATGTTTGTAGAGGGCACAGTTTAAATAAGACCACCTACCCAGTTGACAGCATTTTGGAGTAGCTGAAAATAGCTTTTCTGCCTCTGAGTATTTGTACATCTCCTGAGAAATGCTCTTTTTGGCAAAACTGTGTAGTTTTAAGTAATCAAAGCCTCAATAAAGTTTCTCTGCACTTGAATGTTGTAACAAACAGCATACCTCCATCTTTCAGAAGACAAATTTGAAATTCATTTGTAAATAAGGTTTTTAAGACAAGAAAAACTTCCAGTGATAGCATATTCAAAATTACTCCAGCTGAGCTGAGGGCAAGACACTTAAAAATCTGTGGTATTGTACAGTCAGTATTGCAGAACCTAAGATTTAAACACTGATCATGTGCAAAGGGCACTGCAAAGCTATGGGCAGACTGTCTGCATGTACATGGTGAATGTTGGCTTATGGATGTGAGGCAATTTAGGAAAACTTAAAATACCTAACACATTTGTTAAGGATTGCCCAATAACATACTGGCCCATGAAAAGCTTCTAGGTACCTCCCTCAAACTCAGGTTAGTACGAAATTATCTGTTTTTCTTTGAGGTTCAAGGCAAAGGTTGCTCTGAAGCATAAGAGAAAGGAGCTTTCCTTTCCCCTCTTGTAGTCTGCTCCAACCAGACAAGCTGCTGAATCATTTCAGTTGGCTGATTAACTCTTTAAAACCATTACAACCCATTCACTTTTATTACTTACTTAGTTTTCTGCTGTGGAGAAAGCAGCAATGAGGGGCACTGCTGGGAGCAATGGGAAATGGGGCAGTAGTGGGGAAAAGGAGCAAGGCTCTCCTTTCCAACAACTGCAACTTCTTACATCTTCTCAACCCATCACATGCTTTTTACTTCACATTTGCCATGAGTTTAGACACCATTCATGACCGCTGTGTCACATGCTGTTTTGTAAAAGCATTTTAAGCTAATTTTAAAGTATTTTAAGGTATTCTTTAAGCAGTTCATGACTCTGAAACCATGGGGGTTTTTTTTGAAGATAGCTTCAGAATTGGTGGGATTTGTTTTTACCTTATTTGGATGATCTAAAAGTTTGTCATTTATGTAAGCTAGGGAATCAAACTTCCCTCTATAGCAAGATAAAAAGGTGCCAGCACAGAAAGAAATTTATTCCATTGTAAAGTGCACATCTGAAAGCACCAAGGCTTACTCTCTCTCTGTCCTTGTTTCATTCCTCTGACCACAGCAGAACTCTAAATGTTGCCTGATTTTTGGACAGCTTAAATTAGAGAGGGTAAATCTGTCCTTAACATGCTTTTACCACACTCCCATGTGTGTCGAGAGGGAGTGCTGTTCTGCCGGTGTAGGACAGCCAAGGCTCCTTGAATCCAGTCTGGTGTTTGCCGGAAAACCGCTGCTTGGCTGAGGAAGTGACCTGTCTCTCTCTCTTTCCAATTTATAAAATTTGCTTTAAATGCTCACTTTATGCATAGTAAGCCACGAACGGTCTTGGGAGATCAAATATCAAACATATTGTACAAAACACCGCTATAATCAACATGTGTTTCTTTATTTGTGTTTTCTTTTCCCCAGAGTTGAAAGAAAGGAGCGTGCACGTTTGAAGACGGTGAAATTCAACGCGAAACCTGGTGTAATTGATGCAAAAGGGGTACGTAAATAGTGAAACCTTTTGAAATTGCACTTTGTTTTAGAAGTTTCAGAGCAGAGAAAATTTTAGCAACATAAGGAATATTTAGATTGTTGAACCAAGACCTGGAGTATAATGAAATATAGACAGGAGTATAGTATGATATAATCTTCTAAATAATTAAATATTCTTTTTATAATAATACTGACTGACTGCATCTAATTGGAAGATGCTAAGAAAATAAAGAGCATTCTGTGGTAGCTGCGATTGTAGTTAAATGATGGATAGAGAAAAGACATTAAAAAACAGTGCAGATGGATAATTGTTTAATGAAATAGGGCAAGAATTGTAACATCCCTGGCTTCAAAAGCTGTTAAATCTCCAACAAAAAGTTGGAAGTTAAAGAGTCCCAGATGCAAAATTTAGGTTTCGGATGTTCTGTTTTGACAGTTGTGACAGACATTGAACACAGGTGTGTTTCGCAGCAGGCACGACAGGCCAGCCAACACAAAACACGCAAGTTCCTTTCCACCAGCGCTATCTGGACAGAACAGCCTTCCCACTGTTACTGCTCTGCAACATCGTTTTATTGTGACCAACAGCCAACAGTTTTCACTAGCCTGATGTCTAATATCCTGTACGTTGCCGTCTGGCTGGCAAGAGTTATAGCATGAGAAATGCCCACGGTCCTGGCTGTTGAGGTATATTTTTCCGCTGAAGTGTAGCTCACATTTGTAGTAGTAGTAAATACTTGACGATACATTTGCAGGGATTTATTTTTGAAACCAGTCCAGTTGGCATACATGGGATTTACAGCTGAGGGCTTCTGTGAGCAAACCAGGAGACAGAGAGTTTCAGAAAACATTAGCAAAAGTCCTGTCTGGCTGCAGAAAACGCAGGGCAGGGCCAAAACTGGGTGATGAGAGGACACAGTTGCAGGTAGGTGCTAGCAAGGGACAAAACCAAATGGTTCAGCAGGTCCCTTCCAGACCTGCTGTTCCTCTGGTCCTCTACCTAGTTTGAAATTCTCATTCTTAATCTCTTCTTGTTTCATTTCCCTCTGTAATGGGAATAATAATACTTCCTTTATCCCAGGTTATTCTGCCCTTTCACTTTGACTGTAACAGATTAGCAGGGTAAGAAGTTCCTCTTGCCATGAACGTGCAGTTCCTAGCACAGTGGGTCCCAAGCCTCTACATGTCAGCAAAATAATATTTCAGACTTGCAAATACTTCCCCGTTACGGCTCCACAGAACAGTTCCTGAGTTCAATGCAAATGCAGAATCATTGCACTGACTGAAACCAGTTTTCCAGATTTATAAGGTACATGGAATCAGAGTTCAGCCCCTGCACATTATTTGCACATGCAGATAACTTGGTATAAAACGTATAACAAACTGCATTGTGAAAGGACTTATTCATCTCATTGCATTTCTTCAGGACTCAGAACGCCATTTTTCAGTTTGAAATGACCACTCTGCAACCCTGTAAATTAATGTTGCCATTTATTTTGGGAGATAATAAGCTTTACATTGCCAATGAAATCACTTGTTAAATGTCTATTTCCTGTATATAATCAAAGTCTCAGGGGAATGATTCATTCATATAACTAATGGTCCTTATTCAAGTGAGTCTGTCAAAGTTTAATTACCTCTTGATTCCCCGAATTGTTTTTCCATTTTTGTCACCAGTGTAACATTAATCTTCCAGCCACTCACATCAATGTTTGTTTCAGTGTTTAGGAAATTGCGTAATTGCAGACCAAGACCGTTGTACCCTTTTGGGAGCGCACTTTCTATTGTTAGCGTTTGCTAAAAGTTGCTTTTGTCTATTAAAGAAAGGTCCCACAATTTCAGGGCTTGTGTTTGAAAAAGCATAAAGGGGAAAAGTGTTCACTGTTAAATTAAGCGCCAACATGTAAAATGAGGTGTTTGAATACACGTATATGTATACGCGTTTTATGGATCAGCATTTCAATTTAGTCTTTCAGTGTTCAAAAAGAAGTGGTGCAAGCTGTCTAACAGTGCATGCTTTACTTTTTTTATCTGGAAGAAGTTCAGTCTAGATAAACAGGGCTGCATTAAGCCCTGGAGAGCTCTTCTGTTTGGAAATCAAGCTAAAATTCAAAATAAAAATCAGGCTTATGTGTGTCTGTTGCACCTTTGTGCTCATACATTCATGACCATGTGGGCAAGTGGTACTATCTTAATTCACTCTAAAGATGAAGTTGGAAGAATAACATTTCATGTGATACTTTTAAATTTGGCCAGGAGATGGGCACGGAAGCATTTTTTAACAAAATTTAACTGAATACAGGGAATGCTTGTGGGTTTTTGCACAGGTAGAAGGTTTATCCTGATGTGATTTTCCTTGAAACATCTTGCTGGCCCCGATTCCTTTCTTCCCCTACAGAAGTAATGTTTAAGAACTAATAAGCTACAGAGAGTGTTTTATGAGACAGTGCCAAAACTTCTTTGAGAAAACTCTCTATGATTTTAAAATATGAACTGTCTAGTTATTCTACAAGTTTTAAAAGTCTTAAGCATTTTCATCTGTTTATGCCTCATTTCTAATCCCAAAGCCGGAGATAAGATACAAAGAAATTGTTACAGATGGTGTAACATTTGAAGCTGATCAGCTTCTTGTGTGTCGCTAAAAAGGTGTTTAAGAACACTCAGCAATACAGTTGACAAGCCTGTTGGCAGGGATAGCTAAAGGATAAGTTCCTCTTTTTCCAGCCAAACTTGGGTGCGTTAGCTCACCTAGAAAATGAGTTCAGCATTTTTTAAAAATGTGATTTAGAATATTTATATCACTTTTAATTCATTTAATTGGACTCCTCCAATCCATGGCTTGTGAATTAAAGTCTACAAAATCAGATGGATACAAAAACAGGGAATGTGAATCACAATTAGGTGAAATGTTCTGGTCTCAAGTCTAAATCAGGCAATGGATAGTACCTGTCCATACAATGCATAATTAAATTCTGATGCTCATTATTACAGGATATTGTATGAAAAATGAATAAGTTAAAAGGTGACTTAGCAAACAATGGATCCAATGACAACTTTTAATACTTTTGCCATCTAGCTCAGGACATACTAATTGTTAATTTCAAGAAGCAGAGAGGTTATAAAAGTGGAAGGATCATGTTTCTTCTACTTTTTCTTTTAAATATCTGTTATTGGACAACTGCAGAAAAAGCTACTGGACTAAGTGGATCTCTGGTTTAACCCAATAGGGCTGCTTTTCTTTCATGTTCTGTTTGTTTTGACCAAAAGAAACTTAGTTGCTCAGGTTCAGAGGCATCATCAGAATCCTAGGTCCTATTAACATTTTTAAAGGTATCAAACCAGTTAGAGATGCTAACACCTGTGTAATAAGGAAAAGAATACAAATACTGGTATAAACAGCTTCATTTCACCAAGAAAAGATTGTGCTTCAGTGGTGTTGACCAAGTTCAGTCTCTAGCTTTATTCATGTAATTGTAGTAATGGTCTTCACCAGCTTTTCTAATTGTTACTGAAGGTGGCTGGAGTATCAAAGCAACCAGTCCACCCCTCTGGTTCCCTACGGCTGCTCTATGCTACTGCAGCAAAGGGCAGGGTTTCCAGGACACTGGCTACCTTGAAGTTGCAAACATAAAAAAGAAAAATGAAGATAAGATAACACAGTTATGATTTCCTGAGAATTTGCTGTCTCAGTCTATGGGGCCCACTGGTCTGTGGATAATCAGTGGAAAATAGAGCAGCCCAAAGGTTTATATCTGATATTTATGCTGGAGGAAACTACAGGAGTTATGTGAGCACAAACTTAATTAAAAAGTACGTTTTGTGCTATGTTGAACTCAAGATCATATCCCAAGTATTTTCTCATGCTCACCTCTGCGCCAAAAGGAGCAGAACATGTTAGTAGCTGTGAGGAGGGTTATATATCTGCCCAAGCAGCGTACTGAACTCTTGGTAATTCCCCCTACCATAGGCTTCAGGCTGAACAAGAATAGACTTTCCTCTTCTAATCCTAAAACCACAGTGGTTGAGGGCTTTTCAGATTTTTACTGAATCAAAAAGAATGTCAAACAATGATGGAAATATTACAGAGGGAAAAGAGACAAGCCAGGAATCTGCTTTTTTCTCAGCTGTTGTAATTACAGCCACTTTCAGGAAATAAAAATAGCATGTCTTTTGCTTTTCTCCCTGTCAGATCATATACTCTTTCTTGACTGCCTCTTGAAAATATTTTTATAGTGGAAACTGTAGCTCTTGGGAAGATCTTTATCAACATCTCACCTTTTTTCTAATATTCATGGATGTTGCCTGTTCCCAGAGAAGTGCTGCAATATCTCGAAGCATAATGTTTAGGTAAAACTTAATGTAATACAGAGAACTGGTTTTTTATACCATACGCCTTTTCATTTCACACCTTATTTGGCCAGTGACTCCACAACGTTGTCTTATGGACAAATACCCAATTTCAGTTCCCAGTGGAATAAACGTCATGCCTCTCACAACCTCTCAATTTTTAATGTATGTGTCAGGATGCATGGTGGGGCATTCAGTCCATGATTAGTGGACTAGTGGGGCTGCTCAGTGGGGTGTCGAACAGGGACGAGGTGCCTGCCGAGAAAGTGGACTGCTCCATCCCTCCAAAATCTCTCCTGGAAGCTCTGTTGCACATCAGCAGTGCAGGTCCTGGGCTGTGACCCACACCATATTGCTCCATCACTATCCATTAGTCTTTTTTCTATTCAGTTAGCTCATCATCCACAGTTCTTTTCATATTCCACTCAGATCACCTACATTGCAAACAGCCTGCCCCTTCAAATGCTTCTGCATGTATTTATTATGACAGTCAGAAGCTTAATAGCATTTAATAATATTTCTTATGAGCAGATTCTGTTTACAGATCCCATAGCCCTGCCTGCAAAGTAAGGTCACCCTCTTGCTTTATTGTCATTTTAGCAACACTGCACTGAGGCATGAAAGGAAAAAGGTAAAATTGACTGAGACAGCAAACTCGAT